GTCGAAGGAGTAGTTAGGCCCAAACACCTTGTAGCAACAGAAACAAACAAAAACCTACAAAGTATGAAAACTCTATATTTTCATAGTATCACAAACAAACATTTGCACTCACCAGGCCACCTCCTTCGCATGACTTGACTAGAACAAGTTGAGACCCTTATGGCAAGACCTACTCAACAAAATGATCTTCCAAGATTCAAAGATGTAAAGGCAAAAGTATATGCTTAGCCAGGAACACCCAAATATGCAATCTATTATGAACTTAAATATGGCAAAGAAGAACTGTGCAAAAAGCTCTTACACCCAACATCTTAAGATTATTTCAGTGTCTGGATGATCCTACAGTTAATCATCAACATCTAAATATCTCATTGAATAACGATTTGCTAGCCCTCTCCTGAAAAAGCAGAAAAGAATACATCAAGAAAATTGACATTTCGCTACTTCAGGCTACGATCCTAACGTTCATCCTTCTAAGGCCGAAAAATAGAGCATGATCACATAATTTACAGACAAGATCGTAGGTGTGCCGAGTGACTGAAGGAAGATAACACAAGCAATGTGGCAAACTTCATTGTCAGCACTGGAATGTCCCGATACAAAAGAAACAAACCTGAAAACAGCATAACATAAATTATTGGTGCAACAACCAGAGGCAGAAAGTCTAGCTAGGGCATGACTCTAAAAATGGCCAACATTCAAAAGAATCAATGGCCCTCGTAAAAATCTCAACAAATGGAGACAAAAATGATAAATAGATCATCAAAAAAACTATTGGTCAGTTGAATCCAGACCAGATCTGCTATTCTAAAAGGTACAAAGTTGGCCTAAGATGCCAACTATAATGGTACGTGTGACTAGGTTGTATACCTCATATCGGCTATGATGCAAGTGAACCTCTAGTTCGTGAGTCGCTGTAATCAAGATTAAACAGTATGTCTCGGCGGTTCTCTGTACCCATTCGGATGTTAAACTTTCTGGCCAAGGACTCCACCCGGTCATCACTTTCATAGTCCAGTTCTCGAACACATCGCCTTCGGACCTTCTTAAGTATTTCCTTTGGTGGTTCAAAGCCCGCAGTTACCTGCATGGTTTATATAGTGCCATACATCAGTTTGGTTGCAGAAACAAGAAGCGAAATGCAACAACTAGAGCTAGCTCATTAATCACAGAAACAAGGAATTTACCATATCATCAATTACAGAGATAGCAGCTTTTGGGTCTCGCTTAATGAGATGAACATCAACAAGCAGAGAATATGATGTAGCATTTGGTAGGACACCCAAACTTACGAAGTGCTCAAACACTTTTGAAGCTTCATCCCTCTGCCACAGAAAAAGTTCTTTTAGTGGCACAATAGAATAATGTCCTCAAAACAAAATACCATCGTTCTGGGTGTGCCAGGGGAATATTTCCACGATAACAGGATGCACACATCAGTAACCTAGGATGTTGCAGTGCATGTTTAGGTTTGTATTTGTATGCACATGTGATGAACAAGCAACCTTGATTTTGAAGTCTGCATTTCGGTAACCTAAACACGTGGGTTCTAAACAAATATAAGTTCTGTCCACCCCTTTATCAGTTCCCACAGAGAAAAATAGCTTCAAGAATTCCCCACAAATACCGAAAAAATTCTAATCCAGATCAACATTTGCTAGAGCGATGGGGCCATGGGACATATTTCTGGGAGATGGGCAAATGCATCACTATTAAGTATTCACCTTACTGAGCTTCCCAAATGCACATATCAGAGCATTGTATGAATGGATATCAGGGCTCAATCCAAAAGTGGCATCTATTGCATTAAAAGTCTGATAGGCCCGATCAACATCCCAAATATTTGCACATCCTAGGATTATACAATTCAACGCGGCAACAGACTTGTAAGGAGGATCAGCTTGGTTCAAATTCTCGAGCTGATAGTACACCTGTGTAACATTAGAACAAAGCAAATAAACCACAAAATAGATGGAAAATAAAGAATTCCTTGCACCATTAAGTATCTAAACAAGACAAAATCAGCCATAGATACAATAAAGTCACAAGATAAAAAATATCATCGTTATTACCATTAGTAAACATCGCACCACTTAAACCTCTTCAACACCCCCCCAAAAAAAATAAATAAATAAAAGAAAAGAAAACCACCACCCACAAAAAGAAATAAAGAAACAAACGATATAGTAAAAATTCTGAATGTATGTTGCCTGAGACATCTTAAATTATTCCTAACTAATTTAATCATAAACAGAATGCCAAAATATAACTGATATTGAAATCAAAAAAGAAATACAGGGAAAAAATATAATAAACAACTAATCTACTAATTTTCAAAATCCCATGACCATTAATTCAAGAAGCATAGTAATAAATATTGAAGCAACAACATAAAATACTGAATTATCTGAAAATTAATTTAAACTAGGAATTAGGGTTGGCCAACATTATAAGAATGGTGAATTTGAAATAAGACATACGGCATCCAAGGTCGCAAATCCATTCTTGGAGCATGCAATGACCAGAGGATATAAAGAGGTGAATGGAGAGAGTAAATCTTCTTTAGCTTCTTTAGTAGTATTCTCATAAGTTTTCTCAAACTCATGCAGAGTACTAAATGCTTTCTGTAGATTCCCTAACGAAGCATGGGCATATATCTTTCCGAGGTAGGATTCTGGGCTGGGGACCTTCTGACGCAAGGAGCGCTTGAGGATTGCCCATGATCCATCCAGAAGTTTAGAATTGTAAGTTCTGCCAGCAGTTCCAAGTGCAGACACCACCAATCCTTCATCTACAGAGAGCAGAACAAGGGGTCTTGCATTCTCACCTCGAGCAATCCATTTTGCCATGAATTCCAGGGCATAATAAGCTAATGCACTGTGATCTGCTTGCATTGCAACCTCTGCAAGATAGTTGCACAACCGCCAAGGTGGACATAGCGATTTGTTTTGATCCATTGTCTGGTTACACCCCATAAAAACAAAGTCACATAAGGAAGCATATTCAGAAGGTGGATTAAGTTACACAGAAGTTTTGACAACTAGCCAAAGAAAATATACCTTGCACCTCTCTATAATGGACACCAACATATCCAGCCTCCCCTCGTTAACACAGCTTTGCACGCATTCAGTAAACACATTCATTGACAACATGTACCCAGACTTTAAAGTTAAATCTATATATTTGAGAGCAGCATCATATTGTTTTGTTAAAAACAGCAAGCCAACAACCAGGTCATATGACTCGTCATCAGGCAAAGATTCTTTTCCCGTCTGCAACATTCTGATATCAATGAAGTAAAGATCCATCCATCAAATAGTCCAGCACGTGTAAGATATCAATTTGAAAAAGTGGGCAGTGCATTAGCATAGAAAATGGCATCGCAAGTTTATACCAAAGAACACGGAAACTGAAAAAAAACTAAAATGATAATATAATACACATTAAAGATAAACAACACTTGGTTCATTCAATAAAAGAAGAAGATAATAGAAATTAACGACAAAAAGAGAAGAGAAACGAGCAAAGAGAGCAGTAGAAATTTTTTGACCAGTTTGATCATATAGAAAAGAGGGAGAGAAAGGGAATGTGCACGTGCAAAGCTTCTTTAATTTACCTGTCTTGGGTGGAGAAAGTATGTTATTCTTTCCAAAAGACTCCATATAACCTCACTTCCAAGTTGATTACTTTGGCAAGCCCAATAGGATGTTCTTTCCCTCAATCACTCAGTTTCAAATATTATATGTTTAACAAGTAGAACCAATATATAGAAGGTAAAGATTAAAAAATTGTTTCCTTCTTCCCTCTCAATAACAAATGGTTCTTCAAAGAAATTGGATAATTTGTTAATTGGGCCATGTCCCATATCCCGATATTTGATAATGAGACAAATCTAACACGAAAATTAGTTCATTCAAAACTGGTACCTAGATCATGCATCCTAGAAAACTATCAAATCCTAATGTGTAACAAAAGAGGAAAAATAATACAACAAAACTTTGACCATACAGTGAATCCTAATTTGTTGATGAAATTCCAAAAAAAAAAATGCAGCTGAAGGTTGTGTATCTATATAGATACATACATACACATATATATAGATAAAATTTTGTGAGCCTCAATTTTCAAGTTGCGACATGTCCAGTTTCCAGAATTTAATTTGAGCTTCAAACCCAACATTACAATGGAAAAAAAATAATAAAAAAAATTTGAAAAGTTAATAGTGGGCAGACTCCAGGATGGAGGATGAATAAGTTTTTTCTTTTATAGGAAGCACGATGAATAAGTTATTCGTATAAGTATCATAAGAAATGGAACCAATTTCCCTTCGGCCTACTGTACCAAATCCTATTTACTGAATCTGTAAAAAGCAAATAAAGGAAAATAAATGATGGACCTAATCACTAGGTGACAACAACAGTATGCCAAGAGAAACAGAGTGACTTGAGACAAAGCATTAAGTTCTACTTCTGACTTTTCATGAAGCTATCAGTTTTAGTTCTGCACTTTCTAGCCTTATCATTAGGATAGGTACGTTGCTTCTTTCCGTCTTGTGTTGCACACCATTAAACAGGTGGGTTTTATTGTCATATTATCATAATTCATAAGATATCATTTATTAAACAATACTAAATGATTCAATCACACCAACAAAAAATTATATACTTCATCCATCCCGCTTTTAATTGATGGGCAAATGCATGACACTACATGCTTTTGGGTCTCTCCAAAGTTTTAGCTATCAATCTGAGGTATGTCGTGATTATAACACTTAATTACTATTCAAATGAGTTCCATCGTGTTCCATTGATTTTCCTAGAACATGATAATAACACCAAAAATAGCAATAACAATTATAATCATAATTACAGTGCTATGTCTTCCACACTTCTAAATTGTGAAATTTTGCTTCGATGGGATGAGGTTTTTGCATATATATGTGTGTGTTTGATTCTTCCAGTACCAGCCTAACTGTTAAAAAATTATTCAGTCCCTCCATCAGGATTCGTCATAATACATTGAGCTTCACAAAGCTTTTTTAATTATATAAAGAAAATACAAGTCCCTTTTTCCATTACTTTAAATCTTTCCATCAGTCACCTTAGTAATATACTAATATATATGCACCAATAATAGATGACCCCATATTGATTTCCTAATATCCAGGCCTCTTAATTTTCAATTAGGTTTCCAAGGCGACTATCCTCACATATCAAAGGTTGCACAACATATCGTATGGAACAATTTTAACTACTTCCAATAATCTGAAAAAACCAATAAGTCTACCATTTTCCTACACAATCCTGATGATCAATTTTAATTCATTCATTTCAACAACTGTGTCATGGCAGACTAAAGTACAATTACAAATATATCCAAGCAATACACATAAAATTATCGAGAAAGCATCAATGCATATATATTATACATATTCATATAACACTCAAAATACCAAATTAGAATATCTAAAAAAATTAAATGTCTTCATGAAATGCTAACCGTTCCAGCAATTTCTCCGCAGCTTCAGTCTCTCTAGCCTGGTACATGGCCTTCAACACCAGATTAAACGACGCTGTATTGGGCACAATCCCATAATCCTCCATTTGAGCAACTAGATCCAACAATTCACCAGCGGATGCCCCAATCATCAAATTAGCCCTCAAATAATGATTATACAAGTTCACATCAGGCTTATTGGGCTTCCCATTCTTATCTAACGACCTTATCCAAAACTCAAACAACTGCTTCATATCGGCCCACCTTTGGCTCGTCATCCAATCTGCAAACACGTTCATTATAGATTGAACATCTAGGGTTTCAGAAAGGGCCTGTATTCGGGAAGACGGGCTCTGGAGGATCAATCCAAGGGGTATAAGGGATTGGGACTGATTAGGAATAGGGTTTCGCCAGTTCTCGTTGTAGAGTGGGCTACCAGAAGCTGGATTTGGAGGTAGGGGTGTGGCGGTGGAAGGTGGTGGTGAATCGGCCAGTTGGGGTTGTTGTGAGAGGAATGTGAAGGTAGAAATTGATTTGAATATGGCGGAGTCGTAAATTAGGGGTTTGATCAACTGTCGTGATCTACTCAAGTTCGCCCTTGACGCCATTTTTTAGCTATAACCGTCACTGTGCGCGTTTATATAAGTAGATCTATACTAGTGCACAGGTTTCATGCAGACATAGAGAGAGAGAGTGACAGAGAGCAGCTAGGGTTTGCGAAAGTAGCCAAATCCCGTGGGACGGGTTCTGTTCATTCGGGTTGGGTTCTAACGGATATAATAGGGTAAATCGTAAATTACACCCGGAAAGATCGTTCGAATTTTAATTTTTACCTCCAAAGATCAAAAATTTTAATTTATCCCCTAAAAAATAAAAATTTTATCATGTGCACCTAAAACTAACCGTCGTCAATTTGCTGCCTAAAACTAAATTAAAAAATTATACCTAAATCTCTTCATACTTGTTATTTAATAATTTGGATCCCTTCACATTTAGAATATTACTCCAACATTTCATGACATTTGTGCACGTATAACATGTAACCCCTTTTATTACAATAAAATGAGATATAATAAAAATTATAATTTTTTATTAGGAAAAAATCATATTTTTAACTGTTATATTAACAGATATCAACAAAAAGGGTTACGTGTTACATGTGCACAAACTTCATGAGATTTAGGAGTAATATTCTAAATGTGAAGGCGTCCAAATGATTAAGTGACAAACATGAGGGAATCTAGGTATAATTTATTAATTAAGTTTTAGGCAGCAAACTATCTGCAGTTAGTATTAAGCTCACATTGATACAAATTTTTATTTTTGAGGGTGTAAATTGAAATTTTTTATCTTTGAGTGTACACATTGATACAAATTTCTATATTTAAGGGTGTAAATTAAAATTTTTTATTTTTGAAGGTACAAATTAAGATTCGAACGATCTTTTAGGGTATAACTTACAATTAACCCGATATAATATTACAAGCAACAATCCCGAAAGACACTCAGTAATACCAAAAAATAAAAATTAATCAAGTTATATCTATATTTTAAATAATATTTTTTTATATAATTTAAAATTAAAATAAATAGAAAGAAAATAAAATAAAAGAAAAAGGCAAAAGAGAAATAAAAAAATATTTGGTGTAACCGTTAAAATAAATCAACAGTGTCATGTGATATAACCGTCTACTAATAAATAAACAAGTTTACAAATGAGTCCCACAAAAATTTATAACGACTCAGTCGTGTAATACATAACTACTTACATGATAGGAAATAAATCCCCTTTTATCTATTTTGTAATTTTTTTATTAAATGGTTATATCACATCAATTTTACTGACATGGTATAACTGTTGTATCTAATATTTGCATGAGATAGGCAGGTTGTTTGGCATTGAAGAGTATATTTGTTGAGTTATTTGACATTCGGGGGTTAGAGAAGATGAAATTTTGGGCTGAAAATGTTTTTTTTTGGAATTAATTTTGTATCGCTATATGAAAATAATGAAATTGAATGAAGATTGGATTCATCTCAACCGTTCTAATGCTTTTATAAATGAATAATTCAAATGAAAATTTTCAAATATATTCAGAGAAATTTTGATATTAATATATATTTACAAACAAAAAACCAAAGGTCGCTAGACGTTTGGGTCGTATTATTAATGTTTGAAAAACTTTAGGGTTAATATGAGATTTATAATCTCCAAGGGGGAAAATAAAAAGTTTAAAATATCCATTAAAAATGTCATAATTAACCCTTATAATTTGTCATGTTTATCAGATTATAACGGACCAAGATTTTAGGGACCCCACACATTGAATCGACGGCCAAAATCGTTAACGTCGTCGACAATTTGGGTGAAGTATCTCGGATACCCGTTTCAAATTGTTGAGTTCTCCATTACTTACCTAGAACAATTTTGGTTAACATCATGGCAAGTTTTTGGATCAGTGCAATCTGTAAGTGATCAAACAAATTGTCGATGGTTTCGTCTTCGCGCCAGGAGAGGTGAAGATCAATTTTGATGGGATTGCCTTTGGGAAATGATGAGACTCTTCTGAAAAGCCCTATGATGAAGACACGTGTCCTCGGTTTGCTAAAACACTGTTTCTTGGATTTAAGCACCATCGGCAACGAGTATCCTCGCCCCCGAGGGTACCTCTCATATAGGATCATGCATTCGGTATATTATACGACAACACGTGTCCTCGGTCACCCATGCACCTCGGAAACATACCTCCGTCGGTCCCCGAGATGAGCCTTTCCTCGGGGCCGAGAGTTACTCCGTCCTAGACGCTTCCTCTACTCCAGGATAAGCTATTGACGTATAGGTCACTAGCCTAGGCTTGTCTAGGCTGCTCATCATGACCTCGTCTTACACAAGTAATGTCAGGACATACTGGAATACAGAGGTCACAGCCAATAAGGGATGGACGCGTGGCAAATGATGTCACTTCAAAGACAGACAAACTGCACGCCGTTGCTGACACGCGGCTTGGGAAGACAAACAATTAATTGCACCAATTCCTTGATGAGACCGCATTCAATGCGGTAAGGCTCGAAAGTGAAAGACAATAAATGCTCCTATTACAGAGTATTTATTGCATCCTCCCCGAGAGGAGCATATTGTACCGTCGGCACCCGACGACTCGACATTAATTGCTCGGGACCCCGAGCAGTCAATTAGAGAAGACATTCCTCATCAGAATCAATGCACACGCAACCTGCACCTAATGATCACCTACTGACCACACTGACAGCAATCATGAGCTTTTAAGGTATAAATACTCCTTGCAAAAGGCAAGACGGGTATGCAATCACAAACTCTCTACTACAGTATATTTTCTTAGTGTTTTCTCCTTCCTCTCTCTCACTCAAAGACTGACTAGACCGTTGGAGGGGATACGCCGGAAAACACTCCGGCGCCCTTCTAACTTGTTCTTCTTTGTTCCAGGATCCTCTTTCAGCCTTACAGGATCGTCCTCCATCTCACCCAGGGTCTCCCGTTGCCGTTCCAGGTTACCACCGGACCTCGCAGGCTGTTCCAAGCGGCGTGATTGGTCACTCAACCTGCTCACTCGAAGTTCACCAAGGGAGAGATCTGTTCTCGTTTTTTATATTGTGCAGGATCTTGCACGCACAATCTGGCGCCGTCTGTGGGAAACGACTAGTTTTCCTAGTTTTTTTCTCTATAAAGAGCAGTGACCATGGTGAACACTAGATAGAAAGGGAAAGGACCCCACCAAAAGAGTCTCGAGTTACAAGCTCCCTGCCATCACGGAGGGAGAGATCGCACCAATACGAATAAAAGTGCCTCTACTCGGTCAAGGGGGGGTAACCCCTCAAACCAGTATGGGGATCCGGTCAGGAGGATCAGCCCCCTTGGCCCGTCAGCTGGCAGAAATGATTGAAGAAAAATTTGGCGATAAATTGCGTCAACTCGAGAAGGACAATGTAAACGTCCTTAGCCGGCTCGATGAGTTTGCCGCCTCAGGCGGAGGATCGAGGGATTCATTCCTTTCCCGAGGACTCCACGTCCAGGAGGCGGAGACAGGATCTAAGAAACCACCTAGACCACAAAGCAGAAAGCTCCAGGGTCCCGAAGCGACCCAGAGCCGGCGAACATCATCTTGACAACCATTCCAGGAAAGCGAGGCCATTGGCCCTGGACGACCTCCGGCGAGGTTTGTCCAGACGGAGGAAGGGAGATGAGTCCGAGGAGGACTCAACCCAATCTACGCGACGCCCAGGAAACGAGGGGCTTACCAATGAACACAGGGACTTCAGAAGGCATCCCGTCAGGGAAGAAGTCGATCTCAGAGCCCGATTAGACTCCAGAAGAAAGGGTAAGACTGTCCAGGATGAGGCCGAGGACGAAGACATACAAACACCCTTCACAAGGGAAATCAGCGAGATGGAGGTCTCAAGAAAGTTCGTCGTGCCACGGTTCAAAACCTATGATGGGCGGTCCGACCCCGAAGCCCATATCAGACAATACAAACAGATGATGTCCCTCTATCATTCGGACCAACGGTTTCTTTGCCGAGTGTTCCCTATGAGCTTGGGGGACTCTGCGATGAAATGGTTCGAGACGCTTCACCCAAACAGTATTGGGTCCTGGAAGGAATTGACTAGGCAGTTCTTGGCTCGATTTATTACGGCGAGTAAGCACCCCAAAGACATTGGATCGTTGTTGACCCTCAGACGGAGGGAATCCGAGACTCTTCGCCAGTACGCCATCCGGTACTGGGAGGAGGTCAATGAGGTAGAAGGCTGCTCGGAGGTCATGGCAGCAGCATCTTTCCGGCTCGGCTTGGCGAGGGACACGGACCTGTACCGATCCCTGACCAAGAAGACTCCCTCGGATATGGGGGAACTGATGGCTCGGATCAACAAGTACTCGAGGGTCGAGGACGAGATGGGAAGCAACAAAGGCCGAGCCCTCCAGTCTAAGAGAAAGGAGAAAGAGCATGAAGATATTCCCCGAAAGGGATTGCTACCCCATCCAGGGGGTTCGTCCAGAGGAGTTCACACTGTTTTCAAGGAACCCATCTTCAAGTTGCTCCATAAAATCAAGCACGAGCCGTTCTTCAAATGGCCGCCCAGGATGCAGAGCGACCCCTCCACCCGAGATCAAAGGGTTAGGTGTTCCTATCACCGGGATGTTGGGCATCGCACCGAAAGCTGCAGGGTGTTCAAATCGTTCTTGGAAAGCTTGGTCCGAGACGGACATCTGAAAGAATACATAGAGCCCAGGCCAGAGGAGAGGCGGGCCCATGCCCCGACCGAGGAGCCGAACAACGTCATAGATGTCATCCATGTATGTCCCCTGGAGCGCCCCACGTCCAAGGAGCTTGAGTCCGACCTCAAGAGGATAGCTTTTACAAGGAAGGTAGCCGAGGGTGACGTAGGGCCATCGAGTAAAAGGGCCAGGATGGGAGAGCTTGGCATTACGTTCTCCGACACGGATTTGGCAGGCGTGGTGATCCCTCATAACGACGCCCTTGTCTTAACCCTGAAGATTGGGGAATTCGATGTCAAGAGGATTTTGATAGACTCAGGAATCTCCTCGGAGGTGATGTACTTCGAAACTCTGAAACGGATGGGTCTTGGCCCCAAAGACCTCACCAAGGTCAGGACACCCCTTATCGGGTTCAACGGATCATTCGCTTTGCCCGTGGGGAAAATCACATTGCCCGTTGCCCCTGGTCCCT